ACACTCTGTCCGTCCATCTGCCTATGTGGCTACAAAATTTCTACTCTCTTTAAGACAGAAAGCTAAAATTTTATATAAAGATAGAGCCAAACTTTGGGGAGAAACTTATTTCTCTGTATAAGAAAATTTTTATCTATCTCATTCTATAGAAGTCTAAATTTTTTGACAATTTATTGCAAAGAAATCCCAAGTGTTTCGCAATGGTAGAAAAATATTGACCTATTTCTTTTATTGTGAAACGACATTGCAATGATAATATGACAGTCAAAGTTGAAGCAGCGATCATTCTGGTGGTACGTTGTAGAAGTTTGAGATTTAAATGGTTTATGAAAACTAATAAATTGTTTTTTAGTTAATTTATTGTGAGGACAAAAACTATTTCCACTTCCCTTCCGTTCAAATTTACAGAATCTGGAAATTAGCAAAATTTGAATTTTCGGCATATTTCACCGCAAATCGCAAGCTTTTCCAAGTGTTTATACAAGTAAAACACTTACGGTAATTATTTAGTTAAACTAATATAAATAAGCGAAGAATTCGGTCATAAAACTCCTTTTCTTATACATATTTGCCGTTCCCCCTAAAAGTATGCAATTTTGATATAGCTGAAATGTGCTGCTTTCCAAACCAATATTTTGATCTAATAAGTTAGTTTATTTTTTTACTATCAAAAATTTAAAAAGATTTTATTGTGTACATTTTAATAAAATTTATGGGAAAGAAATTTATTTTTTTATAAATAAATTCAAATGGAATGGAATTTTTTTATAAGTTTATTTATTCTAATTTGAGAATATTTTTATGAACAAATTCCAATAATAATGTGTGTACGAAAAAAACGAAAATAGTTTATTTAAGAAAAAATTTAAGAATAACATAAGAGTTTTTGAAATTAGAATGGGATCTATATATAGATTGGTTTAAAATAATTCCAAATGATAGAAAGAAAATAAAATCACCATTATTTTAAACATTTTTTACTTTAAGCTATAATTTAAAATTGTTTATTCAAAATTTTTTTTTTTATTTTAGTTACTTAGAGCACAATATTTTCGATGACGTTTACTTTATGAGGCTATACAAACTATACATATTACAGTTGCAAGAGGTTACGTTTATATATTACACGGTTTACAGGTGTGCGGATAAATTCATTAAGTGCACTTGTTGAGGAAAACAAATAAACGTTAGAACTTAATTGTGGAAATTATCATGTTTACGAGTATTCGATTAGAAACAAAAGTTTTTGTTATACACAGTTTTTTAATATTGTGAATGGCACCATTATTTTTTCCTCAATATTTAAGAATTTATATATAGGGTGATTCAATAATAAGTGCAATATTATTAAAGTGTGCGTTTAGAAAATAAGAAATGGTTAAAATTTTTGATCGATTTCTGAAATACTTTCGGAATACAAAACGTTCTAAAATTAGAATGCTTGGTATTACAAGACTATATAAAATATGAAATCGAATTAATTGTTGTTTTTATTAACCATTTTAAATTTTTTCTTTGGAAACTCCACAACGCTAATAAAAATTTGATTAATAATTATTCTCAAAATCTCTGTACCTTGAAAAATGTCGAAATTTAACAGCAACTTCTGAACAAAATTTTTTTATTTTTCTCTCTAAACGATAGTATTGCGTTCGTTATGCTAGATAAATCACCCAGTATACTCCTTCTTATATAAACAAATGCATAAAAATAAGTATATACACAAAGTATAGTATTTTAATGTGCAATATACCAAAAATTTCGTCGATAATATTAATTAAAAGACTGGAAGCAAATCAATTAAATTCCTTCAAAAAATATTATAAGTACGCTGTTTATAGCTATATATACGGTCATTGAAAACAATTATCAATAATATGTGTATACTTGTGATAAGATGAAAAGGATGTTATCTCTGTTTGATGAACATAAAAGATTTTATACCCTATGGGTTATTTCTCTTAGAAAATTGCAATCAGTTTTATTCTATTTCCATATTACAATTTACAATTTTACATAAGATTTTGCATTGCGTATTATGCATTGCAATTTATATTTAAAGTTATATACGAGTTTAACTCAAACATTTCATAATATATACATGTACGTGTGTATTGACATGTGAAAATTATGTACAAATCTGTTTTTCATACTATAGATTATTATTTTGTTTATTACATACATTCAATTGAATATATATAATTGCGTGTATATGTATATATTCTTTATAATAATATATTATAAAATTTAACTGAAATGAATTACAATTCACTCTATATATGCATTTTTGAATAAGGTAATAAACACTTTAGGGTCATTATACATTATAAGTATAATGAAAATTTCAAGAATCTATTAAACGATATTATAAATAATTGTAATTTATAATATATATTCTATATATACTACCATTTAATGAAAATAATTTGAATATAACATAAACTATGTACGTTAATATATATATATTAATATTGGATATATATATAAAAAACCAATTATAAATCTTAATATTGAAGAAATCAACTGAGAAATGAACACGACACGTTTTTTGATTGCGTATATTATTTTTAATTAAATCAAAGCAATAAAATCAAAATTAAGATAAATTCCAATTTTCTTGGTAAAAGTATCAACGTTCAATATATATATGTATATATATATACATACTTCAAAATCAAATAAAAGTAAAAATAAAAGAAAAAAAAAATAATTTACTCTTAGCGGGTGATAATTTTTAGCAATTATATTTATAGAATTTTTATATTGTAATATATATAATAGCATGCTCTAGAGCTCTAAGGGTTCACGTATATTGTTATTGTTACAATAATAGCAATATATAGCTGGTAATTAATCGATATTTTGTGTTCTTTGGAAAATTCTATATATACAAACATTAATAACATTTTTAATGTTATTGTACATTAACAACAATATATATATATATATATATATATATATATATATATATATATATATATATATATATATATATATATATATATATATATATATACATATATATGTATTTATTAATTGCATATATTTTTAGAAATTGTAAAATATTTTAATATTGAATATTTTTGTAATTTATGAGGGTTTTCTTTATATATAAGAATTGAAAAACTTTAATTTTTTTTTTTTTATTTTAAGACAATTTTTAGCCCCATAATAGGCTAAAATTAATTTGAATTTTTTGTATAAGTCGCTATTTACTGATATATAATAATACTATATATTATATAAATTGCCTGTATTGAAATGATGCGACCTTAGGAAATGACAATATTTATTATATAGAACGAGCGAAAAATTAAAGATATTAAAATATTTTTGAAGTTTTTGCTTATAAAAATGAATACAATATAATTTTTAAAAAAATATTTCTATAGAAATCAGAGTAATGCAGAAAATTATAAAGTGTTATACAATCAAATCAAAAACGGTTACTTCAATAATTTTATATAATAGTCTATATCACTGTTTCGGGCATCTCGAGGAAATATGCTTACTAAGTTTACTTTGTCTGTTTAGTGCATCAATTCGTTTGCCTGTACGTATTTTTGAAAAATCGTCATCTTTAAAGACAGGAGCCTAACAAAACATTTTAATATTTAACACCACAAATTCTAATTATTTTTTTTCTCATCCTCAACTTATGCAACAAAATAACGAAAATTGTTATTGACAAAAGTTTTGTTTTAAAGTATTTTACAGAAATTTTTTTTTTGTCGGGAATTATGGGCGTTTAAAGGAGTAATTTCTAAAAACCGAAATTTTCAGAAAGAAAAAAAAAACTGAATAAAATGGTATGTGTTGCGTATAATTTACCAATTTATGCAGAAGATTAATGTTTTCAGATATCTCCAAAAAATTCAGCGGTTGATTTTGCTATATTATAGGAATTTAAAAAAGCGAGAACTTATTCTCATTTGAGTATCCATACTAGTCTGCGCCCTATTATATTGGATTTATTTAAGACTTTGTAGAACCTACAATGTTCTTTAAAAATTTAATTATTAATATAACAATTATAATATGTTATATAAAATTAAATACATACATATACATACATACATGTCTTATTGTATAAATCTGAAGAATTTCAATAATTCTATACATATACATACAAACTTGACATTCTCAAATTTAATTTCAATTCTAAATGTTGAAGTGCATATAAGCATTAAATCCTCTTCACTTATTTTAAATTTTTGATTTGCAAAATTCAATTTGACCAACTTGATAAGTTGGTGATTTTAATTAAAAACTGCGTTTAAATTCTAAGTATTCTCTTTGCAAGTATATCAGTATATTATGTAAGTATAAGTTTATCAATATACATGTTATATTCATTACAATATGGTGAGAATCTTGTTGAATAGTTCAAAATGATATACAGACCATATATGTATATAATAATATTGAGTACATTTCAACATTTCATTTGAGAATTCTTTTAAAATTCATATAATATGATGTAAATGCGTGTGTGTGTTTGTTATGAAAATGAAAATTGCAATAAATTTGTCAAATTTCAACATTTATGTAGCACATACACATTACATACTCTTTTTGATACAACTACATTATATCCGTTTATATGGATTGTTATATGGTGTATACTCGAACGTATATAATATAAAAAATATATGTATATGTTTTTAACTTTATATAATCTATACTGGGCAAAATATATTTTTACGAAATGTGGTAAACAAAATCAATTAAAAGATAGGGAAGTTTTTCTTTCACATGTGTAAATGTACACAAATACCCGTATTATAAGTATTGTCATGTACTGTTATTTACATTCTTCTCATAATATTTACATATTATATGGTATGACAAAAAAACAAAAAATAAAGAAAACAAAAATAATATTGACATTTATTAAAATTGACATTATTGTATTATTGTAATTGTTTATTGCACACACACACACACACATTATTATAAAAATAATTTTATAAAAATATTTTATTTTTATTTTTGTTTACCTTTGTTTATTGTCAAATGGGTCAATATGTTAGAATACCTGTTTGCAATTCAGATTTTTCGAAATTGAATAAAATAAATTGAGTCATTCAATTAATAATTAAATTTTAAAGTTCTTAAAATAGATTTTAGAAATAGAGATTTTTTTTTCTGCTTTAATAAATTTTATTTTGTAATTTTTTCGTTTTCAAAATTTAAATTCACAATATTCAAAATAAATTTTATATTTAAATTTAAATTTTTATAATTTCTATTCTTTTCTATATAATTTGTTTTTTGTATTGGTTTATTTTAATACATTCATTAATATATTTTTAATTATTATTTATTTATTTATATTTGTTTTTATACATATAATTATTAATTTTGATTTAATTTGTTTTAAATAGTTGAAATATTATTTTTAATTTCTGTTAACAGTTTCTTTTTTGTATTTTACTTTTATTTATTTATTTTTTTTTGTTAAATATATATATATATAGTTTTGGTCCCGAAAATTATGATTTTATCCTGTTAGAAAGTAAATAGCTTATGTAATATAATAATTTCATAATTTATGATAGAATTATAAATATATATATATATATAAATACATATATAGTAAATATTATTATTTCATCAACATTTTATTTATTTAATTTAATAATTTTTTTAATTTTTAATTTTAATAATAATTTTATTTTAATTAATAATTAAATAAATTTAATAGCTAATTAATTTTAAATTTTATATTCTATATACAATTATTTTTATTCACAATAACATTATCTAAAAAAAATTTAATTATCAAAAAACATTTTTTTTTTTAAATTAAAATAAATTGTAATTATAGTTTAAATTTTAAATATATATTTAATTAAATTATATATTATTTATTTATTGTTAATTATTAAATTTTACATTAAATTTTCTCAAATTCTGTGTTTTTTATTTTTAATATCAAATGAAACTGTATACCGAGAGAAAGAGATTGTGTATTTATTTAATTAAATGCGATATTTATAGTGTTTGTCATATATTTAGTTTTGATTTTCTCCGCCAGTGTGTCATTTGTGACGCTACGGAATCGTTTTTATTAATATTTTTTTTATTTTGTTACCCGTTTATTCCGACCTGTAAAACTTTTATTTTTGTTTAAAAATTTTCATACATTTTTTACATTTTTTTTTTAATTATAAATTTTTTTTTTGCTAAATTTAATTAAGAAGAATGAAAAGAACTTATATATTTTTTTTTATTTTTTAATGTCTTTTAACACTACTGAAATAGAAAATATAACTATGCTTTTTCTTTTATTTGTTTGACTACATTATAACTATTATTTTTTAAAACTAATTTACATTTAGATTATATATGAATATTGTGTGTTATACTTGAATTTTTCTTGTTAAATTTTCAGCATTAATTTTTTAATTATTATTTTTGGTTTTGTTTGCTTTATACGTTGTTTTCGTTTTGTTTTTCTTTGATTTTTAAAATTTTTTTAAATGTTTTTCCTTTTTTTCGTGTATTTAACCAAAATTTTTGTTTATTTTTTATGGAATTAATTTAAGTAAATTTTTCAAATTCTTTATATTTTATCCTGTATACATAATGTTATACTCTCCATGTTGTGTTAAATTTTTAAATTTATTATTATTAATCGTTTTATAAATCACCATTTTGTTTAGTTCCATAGCTTCTTTTCTTCAATTTTTTATTTTCTTGCTTTTTCCTATAATTTATGAGTATTTGTTTTTTTTTTCAATTTTTCTCCAATATTATTCCAAATAGCTATTTTTGAGAGTAAAATCGTAACTGAAAAGAAAGAGAAAAAAAATTATGTTTATTAAAATTTTTATGAATTGTTTTGAATGATAAATAATAATAGAATCTTCTTAGATTTACATATTTATATACAATGTTTAAATAAGTTTTTAATGTGGTTTGTATGTAGAGCAAAAGTATTTGGTATTTAATGAAACTGAAAGAGGAAAACAGGTTATCAATAAAACAATTTTAATATACAGTGCAGGCCGCTTATGATCATTACTGTTTATAGTCACAATTCAGTTAAGTTTAACAATTTCGACATATTTTTAGTGAAGAATGTATAGTCGTTTATAGTCGTATATCGGGATCACTACTTTTTCTCAAAGCGGTAAGTACGAGTAGTTTAATAAAACTTTGCTGTTATAATAGTTTATATGCAATATTTATAGTCAAAGATTGTAAATTCGAATTTTCTGCGGCAAATATTGTAATAATAATTTATCATATACCTAAGTGCTTTTTTATGGTATTGAGTTTTATTCAGACTTTGTTTTATTGTCTTATACTCACAAATTTTTACGAAATGTTTTGTGCGAATATAGGCGGTTTGCACTGTATATCTCTATGTATATGTATACACGTAATGTTTTTACCTGTTTATAGCGTACATTTGTTTTGAATGTGTGTAAATTTTGTAGATTATAGCATTAATATTTTAGAAATTTTGAATGTATACTTAATATTGTTAATTTAGACTATGTTATTACATAATTTATATATTAGCAAATGTAGAAAATTTAATGCATGTTCCGTTCGGTTCTATAATATTTTAATCCGTTTTATTTTTGAATATACATAATTATATACTTATATGTATGTATTGACTACTTTTAAGAGATTATTTTTAAGTTTGTGATTATAAAGTGATAAGCTTTTTCGATACATTACGTATTAAATTTTAAATAAATTTCAACCGGACTACTTGGTGCATTATGTAAACGTGTATGTAGTCCTCTTATTTCATTAAGCTGACCTGAAGAATAATATGTGCAAAATACTTAGATATACTTACTATATATTAATATTATAACCTCTCTTATTTTATATACATATAATACAGTAGAAGTCTGCTCTAGTGAACACTCAATTTTATTAATTTTCAAAGCGAATGAACATACAAATTTTACCATTGACTGTCTTACAGTAAGAGCAGTAATTTTGATAGGACCCCAAAATGATGAAAAAATTATATAAAACTATTTTATTTTTCATTTCATTCTTTTTCTTTTTCTCATTGTAACGGGACTTTTTATATTGAAAAAAAACTTAAATTTTCTAAAGTTAGCCGACAAAGTATAAAATTAAACTAATTGGGTGCAGACAACGACACATCGTTAACCGACTCAGTCGCTCTTAGAGCAATATTAGAAAAAAATATTTGAAGAACTTGTTCAATAGAATGAATTATCCGTGTTTTTATTATATTCACTCGAGCTGGATATATTATGTACAATTTAATGCAAAACTTGTAAACTTCTAATTAATACACCTCCATGAAAGTGTGCATTTCGTCCTTACTAGATCGCATTGTATTTTGATTTTCAATCAAAAGCTTGTTACTTAGTTTCGTTTCGACATCGAACTCAAATATTAAATTTTAAATCGAAGTCAAACTCTGTTATTTCTGTAAAATCTGTTAAAAATTGAAATATCGAAGTACACAGATGATAGATTAGCAAACTGACAAGTAGTTTATTTACGTTTTTCTATAAAGATTTAACTGATGTCCGCAATGCATATTAACAATCATGCGTCAAGATGGTTTTTACTTCTTACTCTCTTGGGATTTACTTATTTAAATTCAATCATCGTATAAATAGTAATGACTCATTGTACAAGTAGTATCACATTATTTCTCTCACTCCACATTGTTAAGTAATTTAAGTATTCCAATTTCAAAATAGGAAATTAAGTTATGTGTATGTATTCAATATTATGTATACGCAAATGTGTTCAAAAATAGTTCACTTAATTTTAATATTAATGCAATATTTAGATAATCGATGTATATAATTTATTGATGCGTTAAACATACAGTAAATATACAGTATTGTACCCGTATAACTTAATAGTATTGTATCCGATGCGTATAACATATAGTATTGTATCAATTGTACAATATGTATAAAAGTTTTATAATTTTAATAATGAAAATATTGAATTTTCTTAGTTAGTTTCTAAGTTATTTTAAATAATTACCGATATGTGTAGGTATAACAATTAAAACTTTATAAGTGAGTACAAGGTGTTGGTGAAATATTGTCTATCAATTAAAACTTCAAAATAAACTATGGTAATGATTTAATTTATTAAATTATTAAAACTCAATTCGATTAGAAAGTTGTTGAAAGGATTTACCTTTGAAATAAAATGTCGTAAACGAATTAAGGATTATTTATTTTCATAAAGAAAAGCAACGGATGCAATATAGAGCCTTGGAATATCCTACTTAAAAATTGCCTACAGCGAGGGCGATTGGTAAGATAATTTGATATTTGTTTCCAAGCATCATGATCGGTACCGGTGGGGACGACCGATAGATAATTTGATATCATTTTCCAAGTATCATTATAGAAATGAAAATTCTCCTAAAGGCGGGCGTAATATTAATTACCGTAAAATTTTCGACGTAAAAATTGCATTTATTTCAAACAATTCATTAAGTTCGATTGCTCTTAAATATCCGATAGTTGCGTTCATAACCACGTACATATAGGTATGTGCATACATATATAAATGTTACGTAATTTTTTCAAAGGCAATTTATTAAAATTTTTTTGACAAAACTTGTATGGGGGCTGTTATACAAAGGGATGCTTTATAGCACATCAAAAATCAAATATAGTAAATTGAAGATAAATTCTGATAGCATTGAAGGCATTATGTATAGCTATATACCTACGTATTTCACGTTTATGTATTTTTATAAGAAATTTCTCAACAACAATTCGAAACTTTTAGTTTCTTTTAATTACCGAAAGTTTATAGGTGAACAAAACATGTAGGTACCTTGTAAATATATATTTGATAATTTATAGTTTTCTTCATCTTAACATTTTATTAAGAAAAATTTTCTTTATATTTTTAGTTAAGTATTATTTATTAGTTTCTTACATTATTTATATATATAATATTATTTAAATAATGAAATGTGTTACATAATATTTAAAGTGAAATTAATAACTTTTCTTCCCACATATATTTTATGTATATGTGTTGTATATGTGTATATATTTATGTAGGTTAATAGTGAATACCATTTGTTCACATTTAAAATACAGAAAATGAAACTTCTATATTCCTTTTATTTTAATCTTAATGTACGATTGAATTGTGTAAAATAACGTATACAGCAGACTCTCAGTTATATTGCCGTATATACTCTCTTTTGAATATTGAGACTAGATTTATAATGAACGCTCAGTTTAATGAAAGAAAAAAATATTATTTTATAATCTCAGTTACGTGATCATATTTTTACTCATATTGCGACCCAGAAAATTTTTAAATTTATTCAAAAGAATTTCAGGATGCAAAGAACAAATAATGCAATAGATGGTGCATTTTCATATGTGTATGGATCTCGAAATGTGCTGAAAATATTTAATTGTTAATCAAACAAAATGACTTTCGTTTAATGTTAGTACCAAGTATAGTTTCAAATAAAGAAATGGGCTGCGTCTTCTAAAAATTAGTCCATTCTTAGAACTTAATTTATTCCATTATTAAAAAAATTAGTTATTGATTACTAATCAATCCGTAACTTTGACTATAGGAGACTAAACCTAAATAACATAATTAGTTAAATCTACATTTTGCTGATTATCTGCTGAAATAAAATAAAAAATTACGTTTCTTGCAAGCATCATTTAGGAGCCGTATACACAAACTACACCCACTTGTAATGGGTAATTCGAAAAATCATTCGATATTTACTTTCAATGTCAAGAAGTGAAAATTAATAATAAAATACACTACTTTTTGTTTTTAGTCCGTACAGTCTCTCATTCACACAATATTATAAACGCGCTTTTATTTTATTCTAATTCATATTGTAGAGAGTCTACTGTTTATGCTATTAATGTGCATAAATATTATATAATGTATGTACATGTAGTTAACAGAAGAATTACAGTAACTGTATAAAGTATCAAGAGATGACCGATAACCATATAGTATTAAATAAAATATTAAAATTAAAAAAGGATATTAAATAAAGATTCAACAAATTCAATAACTTTAGATTTAGTCAATTATGTATATGTATGAAACTTTTGCATTTACATTGATTTTGATAAAGATGACAAATCTTTACAAATGTGGTATGATAATTTTCTGAATACCATATTGGGAAAAGTGTATGTTTTAAACGAAATAACTGCAACTTTTTTGAAATTTTTCTTAATTTTGCCTTAAATACTTTTGACCAAATTTATCTTGATTTTACTCTATGTATTCACGGAAACTTTAAAAGAAATGATTTACAAATACTCAGGCTGTTCGATGCCCTACGCGGTTCTCAAGAAGTGTGGCCTACCGCTTTCCAAACAATGAACAATATACAACAAACATTGAATATTGCATATAATAAATACGCCCCTATTTTCTGGCGCTCATTGCATATGCTTACTTAGCATATATGACAGATTCGGCGCTGCAAGTACTATAAAATGAAGAAATTGGAAGATTTTTGAAATGTGTTATAGTTTGAACACTGTTTCAAATAGGTCCACTGTTCTAAGTTAGAACTGTACTCGCAGTATTGCTGTATTACTAATTTGTATAAATCAGTTCATTTTAGTTTGAAATTCTGCGAAAGCTCTGCCACGAAAAAAAAAGATTAATGCTATGTACTTTGGCGCAAACTGGTTGTTTACTTTTATTTTGACATATTTGTTTTGACATTTGTTGCAAATAAACGTCTTTATTGGTAGTACTACTTTTTAAAATTCTATCGTGGTGAAATTCTCAGTTGGTAAGAACTC